CGGCACTGTGCAGAACTTACCTGTGTTTCTTCTCACCCTTTCCAGGTGAAGCACTTGGCATCTCCAGTGGCAGAATGGAGGTGGCCAGTGGCACTGGCAGCATTTTCAGTGGTCAAACAGGAATCAGCACATGGAGGAGGGTGTTAACGGAGACGGTTTTGGGCCTGCTCTGTGGTCTCCTGCTGCTCGGAGGGGTGCTCTTTCTCTACAGGAGGGGAACGCTAAGGTAGGGAAGGGGCTTCTGCACGCAGCACATGGGTACTACTGGCAACCACTGCAGGATGCAGCTGAGCAGCCTAGGCTAGTAACAAATGCCCCAGCCCATCAGCATCTTCCCAGTCTTCCAAGCTTGGCTGCTCCAGGTTTTCTGCTACCATAAGGTAACTTGTTACCGAATGCTGGACTTCCAGCCTTGCACAGGGGCAAACCCAGGGCTCCTGCACCTCCTTCTCTGGGCCCCATGCCACCTCTGTGGGCACAGCTGGGCACTCTGGTATGCTGGAAGTCACTGGCTCCTTGTGTCTATCAGTGGCTGGTATAAACCAGGGGAGGCTTCAAATTAGGCTAATGTAGATCAAGCATCCAGCCAGGGCAGGGTGGAAAGCTCTGAGGTGACTGAAGAGGCACTTCCATGTACCCAGTGTGGTACTCGAGCTAGCTGCACAGCCAGGAGGGGCAGCGTGCCCTGTGCTCTGGGCAGGAGCAGCGCTGCTGCTGCTGCTGCTGCTCTCAGCTTGAGCTCTGACCTTGCTGCTCCATGGAAATCTCCTGGTGACCTTTAACTAGGGATTGAGAACTGAAACTGCTGGCTTTTAAATAGAAGTGCGTGGAAATAATTCAAAACATTTATCCTGCACTTGGTAGTTATTAAATGGAGCGAAAGTATCAAGAAAATAAAAATGCAGTGCTGCTCTCTGCAAGTGCCTTATTTGTTAGCAGTGCAGAGAGCAGCGCACATGCAAGGGCAGGATGAGAGGGGGCTCAGCTCCCACGCGCACCGCAGCCGCAGAGCCGCCCGCAGAGGCCCCGTCTCCAGCACCTCTCCTCCTGGTGAGGCCGTTCGGGCGGGCGGGCTCAGGTGGTGGAAAGGCGCCTGCCAGCGCTGAGCTCCGCGTGACGTGGGCAGCCGTGTCTGCTGCCCCAACGCAGCCCCCATGTGTCCCCCAAAGCGCTCGCCGTGCGTGGCCCCCAGAGTTGCACGGCCTTGGGTACGTCCCGCTGTGGGGCACGGAGCTGCCGCAGGCGGAGGGGTTTGGGATGAGAGCACCCACAGCGTCTCTGGAGGCGCCGATGTGCCACCGGTGCATGAGGCCAGGGGGTCACTTTGGGGAGGATTGCAGACAAAAAGCAGCTGGGAGAGGGCAAGCGGCAGGGGATGGACAGGCTCAAGCCAGACCGTGATCATCATCATGATCATCATGGCCAGCTCGGCGCCCGCCGAGGCCCTGCCAGGCCCTGTCCCCCAGCGTGAGCTGTCACTGAGGACACATTGTGTCTCTGTACATGAGCTGCTCCCATGTATTTCACCCACCCAACCTCGGGCAAGCTGGAGAGACCCCAAGCATCTCCTGGGGATGGCCAGGGCTTTGATGTGAGGCTTGAGAGGTGCTGGGTCTGCCAGGGAGCACAGGGCACCCTGTGCCACGGTGACAGTGGCCAGTCTCGCGGTGAGGCTGCTCTCCTGGCCCCGCTCCTTGGTGTGGGCGCTCTGCACAGGCTGCTTCCCTGCCACCTGGCACGTGCTGACATAACGTTTCCTAGCAATAAACTAGCGCCTTCATTTAATTTCTAAATAAAACTCCAAGCCCCATAATTGCCGCTTGATGATTTATCCTCCACTGACATGTGTTTGGCCGCCGGACAGGCCTTTGAAACAAGTGCTGTCAGCATTGAGAGGGAAGGTTACGTAACAGGCGAGGACGGATCTGAACCCAAGCCCAGGCCCTTCCCAGCACCGAGAGCTCCTTCGTGCCCGGGGACAGCTCACGGAGACGGGACACGGCCGGGGTGACCATTCACGGTGCATTAATGACCGTTAAGGAACAGCTGCCCCCAGCTGCGGGACGCAGGCGGGTGACCCCAATGTCTCTCCACAGGCTGTGGGCCGTGCGCGTCCCCTGGCCGTGGGGCAGAGCGCAGGGCCCGGCAGGGCTGGAGCCAGCAAGCAGCAAAGGGTTTGAGAACCCCATGTTCGACGTGCCCGTGGACACCGCGGTGAGTCACTGTCCCCGTGGTTCCTGCCTCTGCTGGGGGTTGCGGGGCCCTCCTGGTGAATGGGGTCCCTGCTTGAGGAGGGGAGCACAGCACTGCACCCCAGTGCAGCTGCAGCATACACAACACTGCGCCTGCAGCACACAGCACTGTACCCCAGTGCAGCACTGTACCTGCAGCGCACAGCAGCAAACGCACAAGGCACAGCACAGAGCTGGCAAAGCCTGGCACTGCACCCACATGCCACAGCACTGCACCCACACCATGCTGCACCCACACCACACGGCACTGCCCCTGCACTGCACCTCCAGTGTCCAGCATTGCCCAGCACTGCACTGCCCTGCACAGCACTGCCAGCATGGCGCCCGCACCGCGCGGTTGGCAGTAACACGGCTCTCACATCTCACGCCCCCTCTGGCCACCACAGGAGCCCCCGGGCGCTGCCGCCCGCAAGGACGCGCGGCGGGAGGCGGCGCTCCCGGACACACAGGTCTTCTACCTGAACCCGCTGTACGACGCGAGCGAGGCCGAGGCCTGAGGGCAGCGCCGCGAGGCCCCGTGACGCTGCCCCCCTCCCGCGCCCCGTGGGGGCCTCCTCCGCGCACAGGCCGCCTGTCTCTCCCGCTGCGCTGCCGCCCCGTCCTCCCTCAGCGACACTGACGTCTGCACCGAGACCTGCCTTGGGATTTAGCGCCCCGTTCCCTGCCGCGGGGGAGTCAATATTCTCATGGCAAAACAACAAAAAAAGGGGTTTGATGGCGTTTGTTTTTTAATGTTTGGCTTTCAGCGTGCTGTTTCGGGAGGTGCCACGACGACTGCGCCAGGATGTGCTGGCTGCAGCGAGAGGGGAGCAGTGGGGCCAGGTGGATGTCCCTGCACAGGGTCACCGTGTGTCCCAGCCCCAGGGCCGGGCGGCCCTGCGGGTGACTGGACAATTATGGAGATGTATGCAAATGTATGCAAATTCACACACTGCTGGGCTTTCAGAAGGGCTGGGTGGCATATTCCATGAGGAAGCAGCTATTTTGGGTCTATTGTATTTTGCTCTCATCGCTGCAAGACCTGATCCCTTCCCGAAGGCCACGGAAGAGGCAGCACAGGCCCTGATGTGGCCAGTGCGTCAGCAGGTGCCCCTGCGCCACCCTCCTGCAGCAAGTGACATCTCCAAGGGGACAAACACTGTAGGGCTGGGGTCCCAAAAAATGTCCCCAAGATGGTCACCCCCCCATTCCTTGAGCCCCTGGGGACAGAGAGCCCCGTCCTGGAGCACCCACTGCTGCTGCACGGCCACTGCGGTCTTGCTCTTTCCAAACAGCTCCTTGTATCTGTAAGTGGTTGCATTTGCTGTAGCTGGAAAGCCCTGCATGCTGTGCACTTGGCTGAGGGTTTATCGGAGGTGACCCGGTTCCATGCATGAGGGGAGGCAGGCGCTGCTTCCGTGTGGGTCGGCGCTGGCTTGCCCTGCCGCACTGGGGTCTATGGATTTGCTGCTTGCGAGGCTTCATTTTTAAAATGCATTAGCAACTCGAGGTCACTTACAATGGAGGCTTTAATTAAAGTAGAGATCAATTTTTGTCAGACCGCTCGCAGAGCACACGCTGTACTTTTCCTCCAGGAGACGCATCCGCTCGCGCGCACAGCGGCCGTTCAGGCAGGGAGAAGTTCTGGCAAAAAATGAAGCAACCAGCCCATTTTGCAATGCCAGGGACCAGCAGCAGCTGGAAAGGCAGATGTTGCCCTGCTGCTTTAGCTTCCTCGCTGGTGAGGACATGGCCCGTGGTGCTGGGAGGGTAACGCAAAGGGTTTCAGAGCATGAGACTCTCCTGGGAATGTTCTCAAACTAGGAAATTAATTCTCAAAGCTCTTTGTGAGTCACTGCCTTGGGTCATATCTCCAGAGTTGTGTGGGGACCATGGCAGCCTCTGATGGCTTTGCTCTTGGTCCTCAGAGGATTCCTACTGTGCCAGATTAACACCAAATGTGTTAGAGCTAAGGGCAAGAACGCTGGAACTGCTCTTCCCAGGGCTGCAGCGGGAAACGCCACTCGCACCATGTTGAAGACATGGGCTTGGGCCGTGGTGTCACCCCGCAGCCCCTCCGCACAGCTGCGAGGCGCTGCGCAAGCCTTCACACGGTGGTGCGCCCTGCTCAGCGGGCAGCGCAACGCAGCGCTCGCAAGGTCACTGAACCCACCCAGCAGATCCAGCCTCACCCTGTTTTTTTCCAGCGTTTCAGCAGATTATGTTTAAGATGTTAAACAACCCTGGTTGGCATGGCCTGGCACGGCTGAAGCTGCAGGGCGCTCAGCAGAGCGCAGGGCAGCTCACCTCACCACACTGGCTGCTCTGCGCTTGGCTGTCGCGTTGCTGCTGCTCAGGAGAGTGCAGAGCAGGGGCCGCATAGGGGCCCGGAGAGCAGGCGAGGCTCTGAAAATCCAAGGGCTTTATCCACAATGAAGCAACCAAAAAAGCTGGCTAACCTGCTCCGTCAGGTGACAAAGAAGTGCTGCGTCTCGCTGGGGAGCAGTGAAAATGTTTACTGCAAGGATGTGGAAGAGGCTGTTTCTTTGAGTTCCTGGTCCTCCTCTGGCTGAACTGCAGCACTGCAGCTCCCACTTGCTCATCACGTCCCGTCGGCTGCTGCTGTCCTCAGCTCACCCCGTCACTAACGGATTCTGGGCGCCGCTCGCTCGCCGCGGGGACACGCTCTCCCCACGCAGAGCTTCCCCCGACGCCCCCGCAGCCAACGC